AAGTGCGGTAAAAGGACGAAAACTGGTAGATGCATGCATTTCGTATTGTCTCCTCAGTACCAGTAACAATAGGCGTATGCAATTAGATACCTAACTCTGGGTGCGACCAAACAAGTTTGGGGTGCAAAGTGAATGGCGGAAATTCCAGCCCTTTGTACATGACAGATTAAGCTGAACAATAATTGTTTTTGTACACACAGAGCCGGTTTCATCCGGCTTACTGAGATAGCCACAGTGAAACGGAGGAACTTGGGGTTAAGGTGACGCAATAAACTTGTGAACATTGGTCCTAGCTCTATCCGGTGACGCTTGACCAGGTGTCTGCCTATTGAGGAAACTGGCTGCCTGCGTAAGTACGGTGTTTCAGGGGGGGGGGGGAGCAGAGATCCTGGCCAGTTTGACGATGAACCCACCTTGGCACATGTTCCTTTATTCGGAAAGTCGGAGATCTATCGGTTTTGTCTATGTAACTGGTTACGCAGTTACAGGCGAACTGGTATATGCAGTGTGAGTTGGCCCTGATGGGTCGAGCTTACTTCGTTGGAGGCACACGCAAATTACGAGTTGGCTTAACGACCACAACTTGAGCAGCATTGTAACTTATTTGCGTAGCAGAAAATTAGCGTTTAGTGGTCCTCAACACCATAAAGACACCATTGAAAGGTAAATCGTTACAGATTCTTATATTGGCTGTCGTATGCACCTAGTTCTTCGTGCCTCACTTTTGGCTGTTCCTCTATAAATCTGCTAGGATAAATATTCGCCATGAGTACTCTTGTAATCAACTGTAGCTCGACAATCAGCCGAGGAAATTCGTCTAGCACGACTAACTAAAGTTTTCAAAAGTGTCCGCTTTTACCGCACTCGTGTGAAGCTGACGAAGTGCAGGTGTTGGCCGGACCATGTTGCTTTTTTGTAGACAGATTTCTTGATGAGCCGGTTATCCCTGGACTGATAAGGATGCTCAAAGAAACCAGAGAGTTGTACTGTTCTACTTCGCAGGTGACCCACAAGTTGTCAGCTGCGCTATTAGGCTGCTCAACCAACTGCCCAATCTGATGCTTTGACGAGGATGGAATTATTCCTAGTGGTGTGCCGCCATTATGGATATTTAGCGATCCACATGGCAGCTGCGTGGTGCAGTCACATGCTTTTAGTCTATCGTACGTCTTCTCGTCATTCGTTCGATGTGAAAGTGTCGTTGGTGGTTCGAGATGCGAACCTATACTTCTCACAAACTGTATGCTCGCAATGAGGCAGTGACATTTGCCGTCATCGCCAGATACCACCTGAATTCATTGCGCGTAGTCGGTCCTCTTCATCACAACGCTGCAGAACCCTTGAATCTCAGCTTGTTAAGAGCATGAAGAGGACGGTTCGCAAGTGCATATTCTCCCCCATTATTAACTCGTGAGCAACATTGTTAGGAAAAAAGCTAAGCGAACTACCGAGGCGCCCATCGCCGTTACAGAGACAAGGCATGTAAAGCGAGCCAAACTCACCCGCACAGATTGGGCGAACAGGCAGTCAACCGGGTGAAGCGGCCAATTAACACGAGGGTGGCCTTACTTGTTTGGTCGTAAGTTGACCGTTCTGGAGTTTCCCGCGTGAGCTTTAAATACTAGTCACGAACTTTCGATTTTACCTTTAGAATGAACGGTGTGGTTGGCTAATACATCCCTGTACCTCTGCTCGAGATCCGATTGAGAATCAATCGTCAGTTCAGACGAGGAACACTTCAAACTTCAGCTAATTTGTTGTTAAGGAAGCTGTTTATCCGCATTAGCCAGCTGTAGTTCTGTCGACTGATCGAACAATTCTCATTTGGTCAATTTAGCTTACCAGGAAGAATTTTATAACACAACCCAAGCAAGAGTGCTTTTAAGTTTGTTATGCAGTGGAAAGGCTGACAAGTTAAATATATACTTATTGGGGTCACGAGAGTCAGCTCTTCCTGGTTATCTACCAGTGAGTTTTATAGGTGATTTCTATAACTCTCCTTGTCATGGTAGGTGGTGAATTTACAGAAGTTACTAAACGTTATTTTTAAGCACAAACGTAAGTCACTAGATGCATATGCGTTTCGATATGGCTTGAGCTGTATCCAGTTGAGTGAGGCAAAGCGTCTGAAGTAACCACGAGGGGCTTTGTGTTTGTTTATATGCAGTAGTTTCGAAATCGAACGTGTTTACTGACTCATGGAGATACAGTTAGTGAGAACATATGCTTCCACACGGCAGCATGCAATTTCGCACCGCTGACTGACTATACGAGGTGCTTAATAGACCTAGCGTACCTTTGAACTTCAAACTGGATTGCGCTCCGGGAAACATCAGTGCGTTAACCGTTACGTGGTTTGCAACGATTCCATAGCCCTCCAAAGAGTGATCCAGCAGGCACCGTTTGCTGTCTGAGGCGCATCAGCGTGATTTTGGATATACATGTAAGGACTAGTTATATTCCGATTGATAACGCTCTGCAGCGCGATTGCAGAGCTTTCAACCTAATTACCATGGTGAAAACGAAGACACTGTCCGGAAAAAGCTATCTATATGTAAGGTCTAACTGGGAAATTTCGTATGCCAGAATAGCAAAAATATCCGCTAGAAGCAGTAGGCCACAAGAGGTTCAGCGAAACTGCAGTTAAGCAGAAGTGTTAAGCAAATGGATTGAGCTTTGAATACGCACTGGAAGTCTGCAATGAGTTTTACTCGTTTTTCTGCTAAACAAGTTTCTCAGAAAAATTACTCAGTTCAGGACAAATCCGAAACTAGCGCATGTGCAAACACCCGGTGAAATCGGTGTACATAAAAACAACATGAACAAGATGTGTATCAAGAATTTCTTGGAAACTGTCAATACAACAATACATGATTGCATCGTATTTTAGTCACGAATATTCTCGTAGTGACGTTTGTCTCAGTTAGCTAGCTGGGGTTCGAGGACCGAATGGTTAGCATAGACAAGGTGACAAGTAATGAACAGCAGAAGAAAGCAAACTGATCAACAGAAAATTAGGCCGGTGCACTGACCGAATGATAAGTGAAATAGCCTCTAATGCGTTGCGAAAAATATACTCATAGCCACGGGTCAAATAAGTTTTAATAGTCCAGACAACAATGAGATTATGGGATCTTGATTAATGTGATTTACATTTTAGAGGTCCATTGGCCTTCATTGAGGTTGAATTAGTGTAAGTCAAGCTGGCTTCCGCTCTGATAGCATCATACAGATATGCAGTTACCGTAACCTTCCTTTAACCGAAAGCCCAATTGCAATCAGTTGGCTAGGTTCGCCTGTGGCAATTATTCGGTTCGAAAATGTTGATACCGGGACTTCGGGAGCCGTGCACGAATCTACGGGAAAAATTTCCTTGTTTTACCATGTCATGTGAGATTTGCCCGGAGTGTCATGTTTCACTCATCCCCCTAAAATGTGGAATTAAAATGCCCCAGGCATTAGCGTATCTACATCCTGCTTCCCTATGGAGTAGAGAATTGGTCAGCTGATCAAATAGAAAACTTGGGATTTGCGGACGGAACTGTTAGGCCTCGGTTGGACTTGGCTGCTGAGCCAGCGTTGTTGAACAGATCAGAGCATGGATCTGCACGCATCAGCATATCATTTGCAAATTTATACTGCAAATTACTGCTACGTGGCCCGGCATGTACATCATTAGTTTTCACAAACACCGAGAGGCCACTCGAAGTGCTCAACTTGTTCACCTATTGAGGCGACCGCATCAACCATAATGGCCATACCACCGAAGAGGTGAGTGTACGTATGGGGAAAGATGATGAGACTTTCCAAAAAAATCATTCATGGGGACGGTGAGATTTAAGCAAAGTGATCAAGAGTAGATAGTACGGGTTTTGCTGTTGGCCCAAGGTTACTGTGCAGAACAGAGAAATGGCCAATACATGATGAACAAACTAAAAGACCGGTTCGGTAAGGATTTTGATGTCGGTGAAAAGAAAGGCAGCAGCAATACCGACACTTTGCTGCCGCGCAATCACCATTGGTCGCACGTGGACTAAGGATACTACGAGAGTTGCCCTGCCCCTACGCAGGCTTGAACCTGCGCCGTTAGATTAAAAGGCAAGCTTGTTACCTTTAGGCTATGGATGTCTGTAGTGTTGCTCTCACTACGTGAGAAGCTGATACGGAATCCTACCAGTTAAGAATCGGTAATACTCTTTGGAGCCGCATCGGTCTGTTTAACCCGAAGCGCCTAAGATGTGTCTAAAATACGCTTGCTAACCAGTTACCTCGACATGTTTAGTTTACTAGTGTTGCATATGAGCAAACAGCAAAAGATGCAGCAAAAAAAACAGCCAAAAATGATGCACGTCATCTCCCTTAATAATGCACTCGGAGTGGGACCCATCGCTTATTAAAAATCATCAGGCGTTGTGCAGTGAAGAACTCGGCAACTCTCATTGCATTCGGTTATCTGATACCGGTTCTCAACTCTTAGTTCGGAGAATCTTAATTCAATTTTCCATTGCTCTTGGAATAACACATCGCTTCTACTTTCCTGACTCTCTAATTACTTCCTTTTACTTTTTGATACAGGCGGACTAACTGAATGCCCCACGTAGGTATACTGATCATGGTTGAACGGCTCAGATGAGATAAACTGCAGGGTATGAGCCAATGCTACCTGTCGACAGAGCTGACGCAAAGTGCATACGGTGAAAGACGCAGCATGAATGGATGTAGTTGGCCTGATAAAAGACCCGCGTACATCAGCATCCCATGATGCAAAATCACGGGCGATAACTTGATGATGAACTTGAGAAGGTGTTTCCAACGTAAGAGGAAGAGGGAAAGTAGAAAAAGGAAAACCAGTGACGGTGTCGAGAGAGCACAAAAAAGGTTCAGTATTTTAAAGCAGCCAGTTACTACAAGCTATGCAAGAGAGCACAAAAGCAAACTAAAAGCAAGCCACGTACTGACAACTATAGGCGTTTTTGAGATATCAGGAGGAAAGGACTCACTGTTATCAATAGGCCTGAGGGGCAGTCGAAGAGGGCTGACTTCATTCAGAAGTGACAGAGAAGTAGGCAAAGCATCGGAAGTAACAGGTTTCTTAACAACGGAGGTCTTTGTATGCCTAACCTTAGATCGGAGATTAGCTAAGAATAATCGCAATCTGTCAGGAGGGCAGTTACTCAGCATAATGCGAACGGGGTGTGAGGGAACGGAGATCGTCGCTTTCCCTGTGCTGACGAAACGCTTGTGTAGATCAAATGTGGTAACCACATATCCAAGACTTCTGATTATCATCTTGCCTGATCGCGGTTCATCGATGGGTGTCACTCGCAGCACAATTCTCCTAGAATCATCACGTACGATGGCAAGTAGGGACTCCCGCAATGAAATACGCCGCTGGATGGTGCACATATCGGGAGCCAGTTCTTCGATAATGGTGGCGCATCTCAGATTGGTAGGCATCGTGTTCATCGCGCAAGAAAATCTGAATGAAAAGTAAAAGTGGTCAGATAGGTCGTGTGAAATGGAGTTAAGCGACAGCGTAATCGCCCAGTGATTCACTGCTCTACGTAACCTAATTGTCAGTTCGTGAATAACAGTCTACAGAGAAAGGTTCTGTGCTTATTTGTAAGATGGTAGGCCAAATTTTTTGCACCAGGGTGTAAAACCCTGAGGTTAGCAAAAAGATAATCCACAGCCATCAGGCAAAACAGGACAGGACAGGATCCAGGGAGAAAACAAGCGCTTCGGTAACGAGCGTCCGGTTTCGTGTGCCAATAAGCGAAACAGAGTCAAAAGCACTTCAAGCTGATAGCTGGTTCTTGCATCTCTAATCGTAAAAGACGGACATAGGCAAGAGCAAACAACCACAACACTTTGGTGAAGTTGCTACCATGAACTCTAACAGGATTTCGGGGAACAGGGTCAATCAATTGTTGTCTTGACATCGTTAGAATTCTTCTAGCGTTTTACATCCCGGTCAGCTAGGTGCAACACGATTTGGGAAGAACTTGAATCGAGCATAGATCTATGCTGTTTTAACTCCAGACAAAGGCCCCTCAAGTGATCTAATGTAGCTGGTTAAAAGATATTAGATCATAATTTTGAATGTCTATTACGTACCACCTTAATCTGTCCCCTTATTAAGAGCAATCCTAAGTTATGCCCATCTAAACGTTAGAAGACAATCACTGTGAAGAAATTTACCTTTGACAATTCTCATCAGACGTGTACAACTACGGTACTAATAAGCAAATGAGCCTGACGCCATTTCTAGCGAGTGTGTGCAAGGTAGTAGACGTCCGGATAAGGGAAGTGTGCAGTAGTTCAAATCAAACAAACTAGTGGGTCTATTACCTTGAGGTCACCTGCTTAGGCTAAGTCCATGGTAAGATAAGAACTTGCACCAGGATCTCCTGCTTACACAGTTCTGGCTGTAACCGTCTGACTAAATGGTTTCAGCCGTAGTCAGCAAATGCCTTTTAAGCCCTTTTGGGCCCGCTTCGGTGCAGCATAGAATCCTTAGCTCTTGTTGGATATCCGGTGTTTAGTAGGAGTTCTAAGATGGAGCTGCTGCAATGATATAGGGAAATACTCAGCAATCCTCTTCGACAGACGTCTGGTCGTATGTCCAATATACCTAGCGCTACAGGTGAATTCGTAAACGACAAAGGAGTTGGACTCAACTGCAAGGCTATGTTTGAGACACTGTGTAATGAGAAGAGCTGTTACAGCAAGAATGTGGACTCGGGCTGTCGGAAAGGTTTGATTCATTGTGGTCGACATCCTTCTGCAAAGTAGCTCGAAAAGAGATGTTTCCCCTTGGTGCCAAAAAGTTTAGAAGCAAACCTGCCTGTTTCGAGGTCTCCGCCACACCCAGAACGGTATGTGCACAATCTTTCCAGCGTACAGTTAAACAACCTACAACTGGAAGCCCTCTCCTTATGACCAAAATGTGTACATCAAAACCGAGCACGAGGGAAGTGCATTTAGAGATACAATTCGAGAACTTGATACAACAGCTGACTGAGTTGACGCCAAGGTCTTCACTCGCCTATGACACTTCTAGAACTACTCTGATACACCTCTCGCAAAAGTATCATAACTGTCAGTCGCAATTTCCTGGAATGATTACTAAGGAAAATCGAGAGAGTTAAGCAACACATCGAATCCGGATATTATACTCTCGTGACCAGACAGGGGTTCGGGCAGGGTGGTGATGGACAAGTCTGATTACATGTCCAAATTGCATACCATCTTGAGTGACTCGAGTAAATTCTTGCTGGATCCAATGCAAAAGGATAGCATCGCGAAGGATGTGTCCAAGTTCACTAGTTTGTTGAAGGAACTACAGGATGGTAGCTATATAAATGGTACTTCATCCGATTAACTCCGTGTGAATTGCAACCACTGCGTCGGGTTCATAAAGCCTAATTTGACTTGACTTGACTCTATGGGTTACCGATAGTATACAAAGCCAATGTTCCCCAACGTCCGATAATTGACATGTCGGGCTCCACCGTGTACTCGAACCGAGCAGTTAGACAAATTCAGTGTGAAGGATAAGGTGGTGCTTTGTTTTGACGTAGAGTTTTCACGAAAGTTACTTTGACAAAAACTGCGAACTATATCTGTGACCGCTTAAACGATGACAATACGGGTATCAATTTTCCAGTGCAGCAAAAATATAAATCGCCAGTTGTACGCCGTAACGGCGCTTCGATGACACGCGACCACCACCAGTCGCGCGTGGGATGGGTATATCGCAAAAACGCCCACCCCTATGCGGACTCGAACCGGTTATCATATGGTTGCAAACCAGGGGCGCAGACGACTCGGTCAAAGACCGACTTTCCAGTGCAAAAGAACTAATCCTACGTTGTACTTTCAATAGGCAGTCCTTATTCGACGGACAAGAGCGACAAATAGATGGTTGTAATGGGGACTGCTGTTTACAAACCATTTCCTGGCCAAAGTTGAACGCGGTCCAGTTTAACATCTCATCGCTTCCCTTGTATCATACAGTAGGTATACGGATGATACCTCTATCGTTTTTGACTCCAAAGCCGATCAAATTCATCTATTGGATCGGTTTAACAAAGCGCATTCGTCGCCAAAATTCGCCTACGAGATCAAAAGCGATGGTTAACTGGCTTTCCTAAACGTGTTGCTGCCGCGACGAGATGATGGCTCACTTGAAAGGGTGTTCCGGAAGACAACCTGGGTTGGCCAGTACATGTAATTTCAAAGTAGCAATCCTATGAAACACAAAAGAAACCTAGTATACACTCTGTATTATCGATCCACAAAAGTCTGCAGCCCAGACGTTGGATGAGGCGGATTTCATTCAAAGAACGCTAGAAACCAACAGCTATCCGGCTGCTTTTATCAATATGAATTTTGTTGTGCGCGATCACCATAAATGCATGATTGTCATAAAAAAGGACGAATTTCTTGCAGTTCCTTTCAAGATAGACATCCACTTTCGAGCTACTCTGCAGAAGGATGTCGACCACAATGAATCAAACCTTTCCGACAGCCCGAGTCCACATTCTTGCTGTAACAGCTCTTCTCATTACATAGTGCCTCAAACATAGCCTTGCGGTTGAGTCCAATTCCTTTGTTGTATACGAATTCACCTGTAGCGCTAGGTATATTGGACATACGACCAGACGTCTGTCGAAGAGGATTGCTGAGTATTTCCCCATATCATTGCAGCACGGTACGGTAAAGAATGTCCGCAGCTCCATCTTAGAACTCCTACTAAACACCGGATATCCAATAAGAGCTAAGGACTCTACGCTGTACCGAAGCATAACCCAAAATGGATTAAAGGCATTTGCTGACTACGGCTAAAACTTACTTTGCTTTACTGCGGCTAGCTCCTGCGACAGGATGAGCCGACTTCATGAATGTCGCGGATTGCAGCTGCCTATGCGCGGTGACCGGCGGCTAGCTCCACGCAGACACTGACCCAATGATTTTTCCACAGGCGAGCACCATGCACAACCTGGAGTCCCAGAAGATCGATATCCGATTTCACTGCAGCGAGCCACATTTTTGATTGTCCACCAAGGTGACGACACCAACGCTGGCAAGGCGAGGGCGAAACCACAGCCCTAGTGAAATCACTGTTTGGTCTGCGGAGGACGTGACCGAACCGCTGAAATCTGCGGCATTGGATGAGCGCTGAGAGCTTTGGGAGACCGTAACAGCGCTTACGAAATTCGTCATTAGGGATACGCTTACACCATTGCGCCTTAGACACCAGGAGTCGAAGACTTGCAGCTTCCGAGTGTCTTCGGATTGCAGCGGCCAAGTTTCGCAACCGTAGAGCAAAATATCCCGAGTTGTTGCTGAGAATATTCGGATATTTGTTATCAGACGAATTTAGGTCCTTGGCTACGACGTGTTTCTCACTTGTAAGAATACTGTTCTGGCGCGGTCAATACGATGCCGGATTTCGGATGTAACCTGACCGTTGGGGAGAATAGTGGGTCTAAGGCACTTGAATTCAGGAACAGACACCACGGGTTGTTCGTGTAAGGATAGCGACGGGGCAGATTGGGTGGCAGACGATGGGAAATACTTCGTCTTGCTGATGTTAGTTTCGAGGCCGACCACAGAGGCTGATTGGTCAACCCGATTTAGCAGTGACTGTAGTGATATAGGATCTTCTGCAAGTATAGCGATATCGTCAACAAATTCTAGGTCTGACAGCCAGAAGCCAGGGCTAACTTGAACACCACAATAGCCTTCAAGGGCATGAAACATAAGCCTGTAGTGACCTGCAGATTGTCCTGTTTGCCTGTGTAAAATATTATTAAAATATAATGTCATTCTGTACATAGACAACTTAGGAAGCTTGCCTGTTCGCACGATGACTACGTGTGTTTGAGTCATCCAGACGAATCGCATTCGCGCGCTTCTGGCTTTTCTGCCTCGAAGAGCGTTTGCTGCGTCTCGGCTGGCGACTATACCTTTCCCCTAGCTAGAACCTTTTTGCGGTGGCTTTAGCTAGCGGGATTGTGCGTTTCGACAACAAACCTTTATCTCACCCAAATATCCGTCTTTTCCCGACATTTCCTTGAGGCGGGACGAACCTGATATACAGCAACCGAGCGATTAGGCCATAAGCCAGTCGACTGCGAAGTTGAATAGCACTGAAGAAAGTGGGCAACCCTACCGGACTCTAGTATTTATGTGGAATATCTTCATTTCTTCTCCATAAACCCGAAGCCGGGCCTTCGTGCGATGGCAGTATGATCTCATCAAGTTAACAAGTTTAAGCCGCAAGTGGGGTTCTCCAGAATGCATCACGGTCAACTGAGTCAAAGATAGCTGGAAAAGCAAGGAAGCAAACAAAATTGTGCTGTTAGAACTGGTAGTGGAGTTCGAGTACCCGACATACAGTGAAGATTTGGCCAGTGCAGCCTCTGTCTGCACGAAAGCCACCTTGGTTACGGCGAGTTCGCAGGTTCCTCTC